TTTATTTAATCCAGTCTGACAGAGGGAGTTTTAAAAATAAATAAACCCTCCTCTGCAGTATTTGAAACACAAAGCTGCAAACTATAGACTCTTGAGTATGAATCTGGCTTTGCAGAGAGAAACGTAAAGGGTAAAACATAAACAGTTACAGGGAGAAACACACATTTTCTTTGCTTATGATAAGTTATTCATTGTAACAACCTGAAGGTGTTCATCTGCTGCATGCAGTGCCATATAAATCAGAGTCCTTCCGTTGCCCTATGTGTAATTTCTGTGGAATAATATAAACTACTCAAAATCCATTGGCATAGGCCTGACCTGAAGGAGGTTATCTGTGAATCTCCAGACTCCTCTGGTGCAGCTGGAAAAGCTCGTACGTCCCGGGAGAGGAGGAACTGCAATTTGCAGCCCTCCCCGGCTTTAGCTGCCGCAGTGTACGTGAGGTCTGGCAGGTGCCTGGAGGCAATTGCAACCTCTGCTGGAGGATTTCATGCAACTTACAGCTCCTGTCAGGCACCTGGAGGTAAGAAGGATCCTTCTGGGTTGCTCACAGAACCTCTGCCCACCATCTGACCCAGCTGCAATTCAATTGAGCACCTGAGAAACCACAGACCTCTACCAGTCCAGCAAAACCAGGATCGTGGTCCTTTATGGGGGTAAAGCAGCTCCAGCACACAGCCCACGGGCATCAGACAGGCATTTTCACCTCCACCCCCTTCGAAATCATGATCGTCTCACCAGAGATATGCCCTGGTGGAACATCACCTAGGGGGAGGAAGGCAACAGTACGGCCGGCCCTGAAATTTTCACTGTGTTAAAACATAGTCATGAGAGATTCACAGTGAAACTTGAGGGGAAGCAGGTTGCATGGGGGCTTTTCTCTAAAGGGCCATCTTCAGAAGCAACAACAGGGATTCTGGCAGCTGGAGGGTTTATGAAAATCTGTCACACGTCAGCTGTACGTGTTGAAAGACTGATCAAATGGTTTCATTCCTTTGAGGGTTCATTTCTGCAGCTGCGATGAAAACACCTTCATCTTCCACACGATCGCTATTGAAAACTATCTTAGGATAGTAAACTATCCCAAGTAAACCACCCTAAGTAACTGTCTGCTTATACATTGGGGTTTTCTTTCTTTACAGCTGAGAGTATATTAGAGGAGGAATTAATTTAAAATATATCCTAAAGCAACCTGGCCCCTATCCAAACAGGACTATCTTTCCTACCACACATCTCATGCCAATTGCTCCATTTCCTGCTACTTTCTCTAAGAACTACTAAACAGATAACACGTGAGACACTTGCCTAACATCATTCTCTAGCAGTAGTCCCAAGGGAGCTATGTTCCATGCTTTGTTTCTCACCTGAAGAGGAGGAACATTTCTTCTGCCTTTACCACGCTGGGCAGGGCAGAGGCTTCAAGGGTCCCAGCACACTTCAGCCAGAGACACGCTCCCACAGCTGCCTTCTCTCCACAGCAAGACACATAAATACCATCTGAACAAGACCAAACAGCCAGCGCAGGCTCTACTCTCACATCTGTAATTCATATGCCTGTTTCTAACGGAGGAGGGATTGTATTTGGGTGTTTGTAGGTGCCAATCAGACTTTTGATTAGAAACAGGGCTGCAGGAGCTCATTAAGTGAGCAGGTGTCTTGTCAAAGAAGAGTTATTTGAAACGAAGCTGCTACACCATTCCTGTAAGGCAGAAGAGCCTTATCAGCTGCATGTGGAGCAATGCTCACCTGCTGAAGCTGAGGACAAGAGCAAGTGGAAACAAACTGAAAAAAAAAAAAAAAAAAAAAAAAAAAAAA